ATGATGATCTATATCTTTCATTGACCTGGGCACACCAGTGTGGAGGACTCTGAGCCACTCTATCAATTCTACTCTATAATACTAACTCTACATATAATTCCACTACCGTAACAAGTTGTGGAAACGCCATGGGTCGACGAAGATTTACAACCTTCGAAATCAGCTATAAATAATTAATATTTTACCCAGCGCGTGAACAACAAGTGATCAGACAAGTAGAATACGATAAGCGATCATACAAGTAGTATAAGACAAGTGAATAAAGCAAGTGGTTAGACAAGTAGAATGAGACAAACTATCTTAGTATCAGCATAAGACAAACTATGAATCAAGCAGATTAAGTCAAACTATTAAAGCAGTAGGATGAGACAAGTGATCAGACAAGTAGAATAAGATAAGCGATCATACAAGTAGTATAAGACAAGCGAATAAGGCAAATGGTCAGACAAGTAGAATGAGACAAACTATCTTACTATTAGCATACGACAAATTATGAATCAAGTAGATTATGTCAAACTATTAAACTAGTAGGATGAGACAAGTGATCAGACAAGTAGAATAAGATAAGCGATCTGACAAGTAGAATAATTTTAACTTAATCAGACAAGTAGAATAATTTTAACTTAATCAGACAAGTAGAATAATTTTAACTGAATTAAAAAAATAGAATAGCTGTAACGTAGTCAAGCAAGTAGACTAATCCGTAGCGGAATCACTATGAATTTTCCGAAGATAGACGTTTATCCCATGCTCAAGTTTGCGTAGGATGAATAATCGAAGGCCGAAAGCAGCAGTTAACCCAGAAAATCATAGGTGACGGAGATTTCGAGATTGTCAAGTTTGAGTTTATCGCGCGGGATTACGCGAGTTTATCGCGTTTGTTTGCCGACGAGCGATTACTCGTGCGAAGTGGATCGCTTTTGCGGATGCTCGAGATTAATTTCAAGCGTAATGCGATTGCCGAACGAGAGCAAAAGGGGAACAGACGGACCAACAGCGGCGCGCTGAGAGTGCAAACTGCGCTGCCGAGTAATTATTGTTGCCGCGTATGTACACCGAACGCTATCTCGTTTTTAGCCGGTCGTCAAATAAATCTCGTAATCAGGACACATACACGCATCACAGATCGCTGCGTCGAAATCGTATTCGTGTCCGTTTTTGAAATGAAAAATCGCGTAGCGTCCGGCGTCGCGTATCGCGAACAGGTCGAAACGGGATAGAAAGATCGATTGAAAAGCGATTAACATCCAAGTCCGTTTAATCGTTCGATCGGATCGTCTGTAAGTGAATCAACGAAATTGCCGTATTTTTTGCTTTCCCGATAATCCTTTCAACCCCCATTCATCGTAGTTTGTATGCACGAGAGAAATTTGCTCTCTTAATTTTTCTAATTAAATCCATCTAATCGTCAATGGCAGCTTTTCAATTCGAATCTTAACCTAAATTCGTTCGTCCGTTCACCCCACCATGCCGGATATTGCTTGATTATTACTCACGATCTTCAAACACGCTACCTAGAGATGTCGACAGATATTCGAACACCCCGCGGGACAGTTTCGGAAGGGCGGGGAGTCAGGATACCGGCAATCAGGTACGTTAATGCCAATCAATTATGTGTTGGGAACCCCTTGCTTCCCTCGATACCCCTCTCTCCATCTGAGTACCTTCGTTTACGAATCTGTTAGGTTCATCGATACGCACTCTGCTCGGTTATATTAGTTATCGATCTAACTGGATCCTCAGTCGATAGGTTAGTTTAGGCTCGCTAACATCGATGTGATAATTTCATACCACTGATACAGATATATTTGAAGAAATTTAACATACACACTATTATCACTGCTGCATATTAAAATTCTTAACCCTTTATATTTGGAGACTATTTTAATATTTAAAGTGTCCCTTCAGGGGAGTCAAAAAGTTAAATTTTGTTATTAATAAAATTTTATTAAATTTCAGAAGGAACTTTGATAATTGACAATCCTTCAATGCAACTTGCTAGATCTCCTTGCTTAAAAAAATAATAGTAAAATAGTAGAAATGTTCTTATTCGAATAATATAAATTTTAACAAGGAATTAGCTTAACTATGAATTAAGTTAGTGACGAATTATTTTTTGAGTTGAAATTACTATTAACGATTTGAGTAAATCCAATATTTTAATTAATGTCTCTCACATTTCATAATGCAAGCAATGATTATATCCAAGTGTATTTACCTCGACAAGAGGCGCGTCAATTAATTAACGTTAATTCCCAGCAAGTTGTTAGCTATTTCACGCTCCAGCCCGCGTGCAATTCAATTATCCTTAACAACAGGAATTTACAACGCCCTTAAACCTTAGTATTCGCCCAGAAAATCGGTACTCGGAACGATTACATACCATGTACAACGTGTAATCACATTATCGCGAGCGTTTTATCAATCTCTGTCAAACACCTGCACCCTTCCATCTCGGCTAACTACGGCGCAACATAATCAACCCTCTATCGATTACAACCCACCAATTTTACCCTCGACTCGAGCAAAAACCTGCTCGTTAACATAATTCCGACAGACGGCATTACGAAATAATTTACCGCGACGATCAATTTTCTTATCTTGAAACGGCACGAAGAATTATTCCGATACGATTCGTAACGTGGATGTTAAATTCTGATGTACTGAATTTTTTAAGCATCGAGTGAATTCTGACTTTACCTTTCTTGCTTTTTAATTATTTATTTATACTATTCTTAAAGTTTTTAATTATAAAGTTGTTTCAAGTTGTCGTCTTGCATTTTTTTTTATAACGTTTCATTTCTTCTTGGATAACCTAACCTAATTTGACACCAGTCGACTATGAAAGAGACTGAACCTTAACCTTAATTTAATTTTGCTTAGCATACAATCTTAACACACTGCAACAAAATTAAAATTCAAAATTGCCAGAAGATCCGTCCAATTATAAATATAAATAAATATAGAGTGCTCTCAACAGTGTATTCCAAGAAACCGCCATCTTGTGGAAGAAATTCTTGCGTTCGAAGTGAGATGAAAGAAACAATATTGAAAAAAGAAATTGTTTATTATTAACCTAACACCAGTCGACTATGAAAGAGACTAAACCCAAACCTTAATTTAATTTTTCTGAGCACGCAATCTTAACACACAGCAACAAAACTAAAATACGAAATTGCCAGAAAATCCGTCGAATTATAAATATAAATAAATATGAAGTGCTCTCAACAGTGTGTTCCAAGAAACCGCCATCTTGTGGAAGAAATTCTTGCGTTCGAAGTGAGATGAAAGGTTAGATAACCTAACCTAACACAACCTAACACGAATCGACTATGAAAAAGACTGAACCCGAACCTTAATTTAATTTTTCTTAGCATACAATCTTAACACACTGCAACAAAATTAAAATTCAAAATTGCCGGAAAATCCGTCGAATTATAAATATAAAGTGCTCTCAACAGTGTATTCCAAGAAACCGCCATCTTGTAAAAGAAATTCTTGCGTCCAAAACGAGATGAAAGAAACAATATTGAAAAAAGAAATTGTTTATTATTTAACCCGGTTAAACAGCGTTTAAAATACCTCAGAGCAGAGAGAAATATTAAATTCAGTTTCTTGCTAGCTTCATTTCAAGTGTTTCTCGAGATTTCGTTAAAACCGAGCAAGGATTATGTCTGAGACTGTTCGTGGGTCCCGAAAGGATCGGTGAATGGTAATTGGTACACGCGAAGAGGCAAGTCTGTACGCCCGCGACTAATTGTCGCGAAGTTGCGGCTTAATTATCCGGAACGATCGAGGATCGTTAATTACAGGCTTTCGTCGCGTTCGGAGCCCACGAGAGGACAAATCTCGCTGATTTGTAGCTTCTGTCTTCGCGCGACTCCTTCGAGGGCCGAGGGAAATGAACCGATAATACTCTGTTCATACTCCAAATTAGACTTCCATTATTTTTCTATTCATCGTTTGAAGATTTCATCTTTAGAGATTTTTCAAATCTCTGGATAGAGACTTTAATAGTTACGAAGATGTCAAAAAATGGCTTCACTTAAAATGTGAACAATTTTTGAGGAGGTTTTAATTTGCAGATGAGAGAAGCTAGTTTATCCTTGCTCCCAATTTAAAATTTTATTAAAAGGAAATTAAGAATTCGTATTTGGTTCGAATCGAATTCTATGGATATGGAGATATATGAGAACTCTATTGATATCGGTAAAATAATTTGAAAGATCGGAATATTCGAACGTGGAATAGCATCGTAAGATTTTCACCGGAGGATCTCGCGGGTGGAGACGCTTTCGGCCGCGTTTTCGGGATTGTCGTAAATTGCCGGTATGCTCATGTGGGCTGGTGTCGAGAGGACCGCGTCACCCTCCATCAGAGCGAAACTACTCGCGAAAGAGCAGTCTCAGCCTATCCGATTCTGAAGGCGAAGAATACGCTCGAATGGCAGATGCTCGCTTTCCATTTCGCTTCCTCTTCCAGCTCGCGTCGTTGCCTCTTTTACTTCGACTCTTTTCAATATTGCCCCGTCTCCTTCTCGAAACTACTTTCCTTCGATTTTCTTCATTGCACTCTCGTCGCGAGGATTTCTTACCTCGAAACTCCTTCTTTAGTAGCCTCTTTTTATTTCCGTGTTTCAATCGCGTCTGCATTACTTTATCAGTCAAACCATCTCGTTGATCCGCCCGCTGTTATCTCCTCTATTTTTATTAACCTCAACTCTCCATATTTATTTACTCGTATCTCCTTTTATATCCGATGTTGCGAGTTTGCCTCGTTAGTTTCGCCACATCTCATCCTTTTATCTGTTCAATCAGCGTATCGATTTCCTCCTCGTTGCAGTACATCGCTTTTTACCTTTTTATCCTCTCTGTTTTTTATCCCCTGATTCTTTGTCAAGTACGAGTGCAGCGAAAAATCGGTACAATTTCATGTATCGCAGACTTCGTTAACCTTCTATCATTTTTCGCGGAGTCGGTTGTGATACATGTTTCGCTTACCTGAAGACAATGTCTCCTCGCGAGCCATCCAATGTGCTGAAGTTGGGGCGGATCTGGGAGAGCGGATGCTAATCGCAACGCCTTCAAGGTGAGAGCTGCCAGTGCCGAGTGCAGAGCGTTGAACCACACGTTCGCTTCGGCGTTGTCGGCGGCTCTCAACCAGCACTCGTGTACTCCGTCTGGCGAATGCAGTTCCAGAATTCGACCCTCTGAAACGGACAAACAAGAACGTAATTATTTGTACATTCTTTGTGTACTTAAATTCTTTTATTTTTAAAATTTATTGTTAACAAAATCGTCTATCAATGTGTATTGTTGAAATGCAATTAGTTGTAATGTGATCTATGGAGGCACATAGGCAGAAATTTTTAAATATTATCAATTTTAGTCTTGGTACTATGTGGTTGGTTGGAGTTTATTGTAGTTGGGATACTTCTTAGGATAATATTATATTTGAAAATCACGAATATTTCAACTTGAGAATTAGAGAATTAGAGAATTAGAGAATATAGAATTAGAGAATATAGAATTAGAGAATATAGAATTAGAGAATATAGAATTAGAGAATATAGAATTACAGAATATAGAATTACAGCATATAGAGTTGCAGAATATAGAATTACAAAATATAGAAATACAGAATATAGAATTACAGCACATAGAGTTACAGAATATTGAATTACAGCATATAGAGTTACAGAATATAGAATTACAGAGTATAGAATTGCAGCATATAGAGTTATAATAGATAGAATCACGACATATAGAATTACACAACATAGAATTGCAGAATATCAAATTACACAATATAGAATTACCGAATACAGAATTACAAAGTATAGAATTACAAAATATCAAATTACACAATGTAGAATTCCAGAATATAGAATCAGAGAATATAGAATTACCGAATGCAGAATTACAAAGTATAGCATTACAAAATATCAAATTACACAATATACAATTCCAGAATATAGAATCAGAGAATATAGAATTACCGAATACAGAATTACAAAGTATAGAATTACAGAATATCAAATTACACGAATAAAGAATAAAACTCCAAAATAGTTCTAAAAAATAATTAAAATCCCAAAGTAAAAGTAGAGTCACGTATCCCATTTCGGTCATCTAATCTCAGAGCATATTCACGCAAGAAAACGCAAAGGAACGACAAGTTTGGCAGACTTCCGAAGCAACCCCTTAAGAAGCACGAATCCCATTGAAGGAAGTCGAGCTCATCCCCCTGTAGCCTCTTAATATCCCTTTCCGAGGCAGACGGCCAGGCAGCAGGGGGCTATCAGGTTTCGGACTTAATAGTTTTCGCATCACGGGGTCGGGCAACATTATAAAGGCGTCATATAACTTCGTGAGTGGATGACAACTCAATTTCAAGTTGAGCCTGACGTTGCTCGCGTGCATCGCTCCAACCGGCTCGCTAATTTGTAAGCGAGGGCATCTTAAGTATGCGATGAAAGTGTAACTTACGCTGGCATAAATTGTTGCTAGCGATTATGCGTCGCGTTGTTTAGGATCGACCGAGCAAATAATTGTTTTAATACTTCGAGTATTATTCAGATTATTCAGGAATTGTTAAGGTAATTAGGTTTGCGTGCTATTAGCACGTTGACCGCCACAGTGGAAACTGACGTTTGTGGTCGGGATATAATACAGATTATTAAGAACAAGGGTACTTAACACGTTGACCACAAAATGTTGGTCAGACACAGTACACAGATTATTAAGAACAAAAGTACATGATCTCTCAACGTCATGTTATGTGGGAGACCTAAGTTTAGTTTGCTTTAGTAATGTAACTTTTCAGCGTCAAACGGTTAACCTTAACTTATAATTTTCTACAGTTGCGTCCTTTTGCTGCAACATTAAGACAGTTGAAGAAGGTTAAAAGTTTTGCTTTCAGCGATCCTTGATTGTACGTATTATAATTAGAATTGGAGCAAACATTCAATTGTTGTGAAAATATAAATCTGATGTATGACATTTCAACTGTAGTGTGCGTCACGATATGCGTCACGACCATATGAGGTTGCAAAAAGTTTCAAATAGCATAATATCGATATAAGGTTCTCCAAATTTGAATAGAACAAGAATCGTCAATTTTCACCCCTTTCAAGGGTGAAAACAGAGATTTAGTATGAGATATTTCAAAAATATCTCAGTTAATTCTCGAAGGTTACAAAGGACGATTCTTTAAAATCCTCCATCAGCTTTCCCGTGTCAGATGCGAAATCCCAAAGGGCAACAAGAAAGGAAAGGAGAAGAAAAAAAAAGGAAAATCAACACGCGAGATAGAAGCGTTTCAGAGTGGTTGGTGTATACGAGCGAAGTTAAAAGCACGCGATACCAAAACCATATGCTAAATGCGGCCACGTCGAGATCGTCTAAACACCGTGCTGTATCCGGTTACCCCTTGCTCGAGAGGGGTGGCTGGTTTGAAACGGCGAGGCAAGAAGACAGGCAGCGAAAGCAGCGGTAACAAACGTCCGCCGTCTCTTATACAAAGTATCCACTTCCACGTTCGTTTCTCTTCCACACTTTTAAGCGATAACGAACGTTACCAGCCCTCGGGGGATCGAGGGGTGTTGTTGCAGCGAACGCCGAAGGGGGTTGAAGGAGGGCCGGCGAAAGGGAGCGTCAGTTAACCCGACGCTGTTTTCCTCTCGGTGGAAGGTTAGTGTTTGCGACGACGACCCGAGCAGAGATGAACGTGGAAAATATTTCGACGATGTTGTCCCGTTGCCCTTAATCGCGCCAGGAATTTGACTGGGGAAATTGAGAGCGAAGGGAAATTGTTTTACTTAAATCACGGTTGTTGTTCGACGCTCTAAGAGATCTCGGTCCTGAACAATATTTTTAACAGTTATTACGGAAATATTTATTTATTCAACGCTCGGCAATAATCACTCGACGGATATATCGGAACAAATTTTAACTGGAGAAGTTTCCAGGGGCGGTTATAGCGATCGTTTAAGTTTTAATACTTGACAAGCAACAGCTGTGGATCATTCCGGATTATAACGAAACTTTGCGAGTTCCTGAAATCTTTCGTAATTACAATCTTTCTATTATACTTTCTGGAAGGGTTGCTAAGTAGCGTTCAAATTCTCCGTTAAATAAATTGAAACGTCTATCAAGAATTATAAAGGGGATGTTAATATATTGATATATATGGGGTTCGTATGTGCAGATAAACTGTACCTGAGGATAGCTTATGACATTTTCCGAAGAGGACTTACAAGGATAAATATGGAAGCAGTTACTTTGAGAGATACCTTTAAGGACACACTGATACCTACATTATTACATATACACATTTTATTCCAATCACATACTATTTGATATAATAATATTTTATAGTGAAATATAATATTTATTATCGTAAAAATATATCTGCATCTTACTGTATTAATGGAGGATTATCTGTGGCTGCAGTACACTTCCCTGTATGAGTGTTATTATAATAAAGTATCTATAAAACAATAGAGTAATATACAGGGCGTCTCACAACTACTGTAAGCTCCTGAAATGGGAGGTGGCTGACGCGGACCAATCAGAGCGCGAGGCTTACGCATGCGCAGACGCGAGAGCGACAGCTTCAAGCCTAGTGGCTGAGCACGCGCAGTCCTGATTGGTCCGCGTTTTTCCTTAATAACTCAAGACCGAAGCTTCACACCACATTTTTGCAAATGGAAATCATAATCAGAATCACATCAGCTACTCCCCATTTCAGGGACCTATACTGTGAGACACCCTGTATAGGGTGCAACGCATGATTTTCGATGAAGAAACTCGCAACTATTTACATAACACAAACTTAATCTTGAGAAAGCGCTAAGGGAGCAAATCATCGTTTCGAGGTATCGACTTGTTCGTCCAAGAAGAAAACCCCGGGGAATGCAGAGTTGGAAATACGACGGTCGTTAAAGGCAGGTCGAGCTGGTTCATCTCGAAGACGATCCACTTCCATTCGTCAAACGGGCCCCGTTTAATTGCTCGCGACGGACATACCGTCGTGTCGGCGAGACAAGGGACTTCGTTTAATTAGCGAAATAACCGGTGCTGTCGTTAACTCGGCTCGCATCCGTCGATCCATACGTCGGCTTTCCAACGTGACCTGGTAATCTCGCTTCCGGTGTTGTGTATCCCCGCGTAATTTGCCTGCCTTTGATCAGCCATCCGTTCCCGCCAGCAAAACCGACTCACCACCACCACCGACGCCACTGTGGATCCTTTGTTTCTGACCGATAAGGTTAGTAAATTAGAGGCCGAGCGGCAAAAAGTCCAGAACGATGGATTCTCCGCCTCTCAAACACCCTTTTCTTCCAAGGATTTTTCTTCCCCGTTTCAAGAAGGTAACGAGATTTACGACGACCCTTTCCTTCCGCTCAACGACTTTAATTCAAATTTCCTGTTGTCGTTTTCCTCCTCCCTTCCGCCACCAAGTTTCCGTGGCTCCGTTCGCGCGCGATAAGAACCGTGTGTCGCGTTTTATTCAACAAGAGGGGACAGAAAAGGGGTGGACCTCAGACGGTGTCTGTCGAACTTGGATTGATCAATGTGTTGGTACGGACGATTTAAACACTTTGAGCTGGAAATTTTTCTGGTGTCTGGGCGGAATTTATTTGGTACTTTTTCCACTTTTATAACTGTGGGTCTTATTACTGCTACTTATTTATTACTGGTAAAGAATTGATTTGAAACTATAAATGTGAATCTCACAAAGGTAATGTTTCATACAAAGATGACTCTTGCTGCAATATGCATTCTAAGACCTATTCGAGTGCTGACTAAAGAAAACTTATTACATTAATGAATTAATCCATCCTTAAAACCCGTGTCTCTGACTTCTTTCTCCTGTCAAGCTATAATTCTTGAAAGAGATCTCTCAGAAACATAATCTCGGAAAACAGAAAATTCCTTTCCCTCCATTAATTCCTCAACATCGTTTACCCGTTATCTCGGACAGTTTCCGCAGCTTTCTCCCTAAAAATCCCGTGTACACCCCTTCCCTCTCGAAAACTACTCGACCACGTCTTCAACTTTAATGACAGTCTGGTCGCCCACGAGACGCGTCGTTAAACGTGACTCCATCCGCGCTGTTTTACCCGTTTCTTTTCTCTTTATTCGCCATTCGACACTGCGGAATGCCGTCGTTCGGTTTCACGTTTCTCTGAGAGCCACGTATTCC